CGGGCTGGGGATTCGAACCCGCCACCTTAGGTGTACGTGGCTGGCGCCTTAGCCGGTTGAGCTATAGGCGCCGAGCCTTCAGTTTCTAATCTAAAAAGAGCTTCACAAATCATTTGGAAAAATGAGTCTAGCAGTAAACATAATTAACTACACCTACTAACCCCCAATTCTTGAAGCCAGTTGTTTTCAAGAAAAGATGAAACAGCACCTGTTACTGAAGACAATAAAACCCAAACCTGATACTTGAGAGCCTTGGTTCTGGATCAGTTTTCTGGCTTGGACTGATTTAGAGTCTCCTCCTCCAGAATCTTCATTAGTGAATTTAAGCCAGTATGCGTTAACATTATCTTCTCTTTCAGCTCTGCAATCTTTTCTGGTAGAGGTACATTGTGAATATCCATCTCAGAAGCATTTATTATGGCTTTTGATTTTAAGGCATAGCACACCATTTTATCATTGGAAAAATGGCCAGGCCAGCATGGGTAGAATATACATGGAAACCAGTGGGAATTCCATAGGTACCACAGAATAAAAGGTTCTAAGTACTGCCTTTGAGTGAACCTTCAATGCCAACTAGGAAGGACTCTTCCAAAAGGACATTATTTGTGACTCCAGAGAATACCATGGCCTGGAATACAGTGCATCTCTTGGGCTCCAGCCACCAGGACAGCTGTGGTAGAGCTGCAGGCTCCTCTGCCTCCAGCCTTGCAGGGCCGAGAGGCAAGGAAGCTTGGCTAATTTTTTGTAGAGATAGGGTCTCACTGATGTTGCATGGGTTAGTCTCATGCTCCTGACCTCAAGCAGTCCTCCTGCCTCAGCCACCCAAAGTGGTAGCATTACAGGCATGAGCCACCACCCTGGCCCCAGTGAGGATTAATAAAAATATCGCAACTACTGTGTGTTAAACATTGTTCAGAGTGCTTTATAAATATTAACATTTAATCTTTGTAACAGCCCTATCAGATAAATACTTTATCTTCATCTTACAGTTGATCACAAAGAGACAGAGAGAGGTGAGAGGTTCAGTGAGTTGGCCACAGTCACAGAATAAGCAGGTCACTTTCTGCATAAATAATTGCAATGTCAGGTGGCACCTGTGGCTCAGTGGGTAGGGTGCT